TAGAAATTTAGTTTTAAATTATAAAAAATTGTGTCGTTTCTTGAAAATTTCTCGTGCTCTTTTTTGTAATTTTTTCCATTTCTTCTATTGCTCTGAATCAGCTCTTTCACATAAATAAAAATAGAGCATTGTATTTTTTTTCCTCCACCACCCTTATACACTTCTCTAGACTTTCATAGTCGGTTTATCTCTCTGATTCTTATCAACTTTCTTAGCTAGCTATCAGCTGGGTGTTTTCCTCATTGTTGTTGCTTCGTTTGCTGCCATCCTTCCCATTCATATTTGCCAGCCGTAGTGGAGTGAGCTGTTGATTCTCTTTACCTATCATCATGTTTTTGTGTCAACGAGAGCTGAGCAATAATATACTTCTTTCTTGGCTACCGAGTTGTTATCTTCCTCTTCTCTTTCTTTGTTCGGCTGTCATGTTGGAGGGAGAAAGTTACAGCATTCTGTTGTTCTTTTCTAAAAAAAGTTTGTCAGTGGTGAGTGGGAAAATAGCTTTAATTTCCTTCATCTTCATCTATTGAACATCCATGCATGAAGAAAGCTTAATATTTTGCTTCTTCATTTCTGTCAATGAAGTCTGCTTTGTCTCCTCCTATTGGACCGTGGGGTTTTAGCTCATTTAATTTTTTTTTGGTGCTATCAGTAAGTCGTGTGTATGTAGCACCTACTACTACGTATTGGTCAAGGTGAGATATTGATTCTCCTTTCCTCTGTGAGTATAGGTTTTAGTATGCTATGCAATTTACTCTTCTTTCTTCACTGGCTGAAAATGTATTCTATTTCCCTATATTATTGTCTTAAGGTGGTAGAAATAATTGGGTGGTATGGATTAGATACTATTTTAGTATATGTTGAGTTAGAACTTTACAAAAGAAATTAGAAGATAGAAATTATTAGTTTTACTTGGATGCTTGCTTTATGGTTTAGTATGGTGCATGTTCTTTTGGTAATTGTAAATATACTTGAAAAATTTATGGGTGGAAATAAGATTGTTAGAGTTTATAATAAAGCCTAGAGAAATTATAAATATTCATAATGACAAGAAGATTATTGGGTTATGTGTTAGATTAATTTTGGAACACCATTGGAATAAGCAAGGAGTTGTGAGATTTGGACTATAAGATTTTGGAAACTCAAGTAAGTGGGTAGCATTCTGAATAAATGTTTAGTAAAGTGTTTATAAAATTCTTTATTTAAATTTTACTATTAATCCTTTATAAATTGTACACGTGTCATTGTTAATCCTATTTTTGTTCTAATAAATGTCTTATCAGTGAAAATATCTTGATTTTATGAATGAGTTAAATTGTTGATAAGTAACAAGAGAAACATACATATGATTAATGATGTACATTTTTAATAGTTTAATTACTGAATTTTATGTTGATGTAAAATTTTAATGTAATGACTCATATATAAAGGAAAGAAATGATTGAATTAGACAATAAAAAATGATGGTTGAATAATGGTATTTGATAGAGAAAATCTTGAAAATGTTTTCTTGCTCCATACATGCTTGATTTTATTGAGGAGGACTGAGTTCAGAATGCTGCATACTAATGGCAATCCCTTTAGCCCTTGGTGCACCATAATACACCTAGCTAGCAAGGTATTTATAGGAGGTGCTAGTCCCGTGCGATGGCCAACGCACATGGAATGGAGGGATGGTTATTTATAAGTATTGTACTCACGCTTATATTCATAGACTTCAAGCCTGCGCTTGGTTTATAGCTTCTGCCGTGTTTGTTTCATGGCTTTTGACCATGATTGACTAGTTACTTACTCTTGTGAACTTTGTGTCCACGCTTGTTATTCATTCTGATAAAGCTATCCTAAAATTTCAAATTAAAATTTATCATTTTTTGAAAATTCTCTGAAAGTACTTTATCAAACTATATTTATTGTAGTCTTTATATTTTATGAGCAATAAAATTTTTAATACACCTATTTGATTCTATCAACCTTGTATAAATTCACAATCACACTATTATGAAAAATCATTATTTATTTCCAATTTTGGATAATTCATTATTTCATTAAATTATTTGAAGTTAAATTTGTTATTTATTATCTTTATATTTTCTTTATTATAATCTTGATTCGAATGCTACTCACCAAAAAAATTTTTAGTCTCAAATATTATAACTGACCTAGGCCTTCAACTAACCATTTAGGGCCCTTCTTGCTTTTTGGAAAAAGGAAGCACAAGGTTATTATTCTTTTTGGTGAAATCTTATATTGTTTTTTATAAATTATAAGTTAATACTCCACGTACACTATAGTTAGATCCTAATCTTCTTTTGTTATTATAAAAATTGCTGGAATGGAGCTAGACTCCTTGCTAGTCTGGTTGGTAGGTTCTATTATTATTGTGGAAATTTTGAGAGGTCGGGGGAAACTCTGTTAAAATTTCTACAAAAACTTTAAAACTTTACAAACTTTACTATTATATATATAACTTGCATATATTTCTATTTATTAGCTTAATCTCTAGTTAATCAAGGCTTATGGAATGTGTGTTCACTTCATATTCCATGTGAATCATACCCTTAGTATCGACATGTGACACCTTTAATAGAGATTTCAAACATTTCTTAGGCAAAGATTTCTTGGAGAAATTTCTAATGATTAAGCACGATCTTCTAGAACCTTTTGAACTACGCATTAAACTTGAGCCGCTGAGCTGGCTAGAAAGTGACGCGATGTTGCGAATGAAATTGGAAAGGAAATTGAGTTGCAAGGAACTTCCTTTATTGATTTAGTTCATCAAGTAGAAGCTTATAGGAAACAAGATTTTTAAAGAAGCGAGTGATTTAACTTATTATTCGGTCAAAATGACATTTCCCTACTATAAAACCAGAGCCTCAAGTGGAGACTCATTATCACATGATGACTAATCAACCTTCATAGAATTCCATCTAAGAATATTTTTTAGTTCATATCAACGACAAATGGTCAACTTTTGTTTAAGTGTTAGCTCAACAACCAACGTTTGAAAGATTTAACAAATTGGTCACTATATCACCTATTAAAATAACGTTATGAGTATTTTTAGCCTTTTTCTCACTTTAGGCTACTAGAAGACACTAGTTGATAGCTTCATGTGTATTTTTACTCCTTTTTTAGTCCACATTAACAAAAAATGATCAACATTTGCTTAGGTGCCAACTAAATGGTCAACATTTGAGGGATTTAATGGATTGATAACTCTTACACCAACGTAGATAATCTTATGAGTATTTTTGCTCTTTTTCTCACTTTAGGCTATTAGATGTTTTTAGCTGATGACTTCGTACATATTTTTACCCCTTTGCCCTATTTTGTATTGTAAAAGCTATTAGTATTTATTAAAAATTCAAAATTGCATGACTATTAACAAAATTTATATAGTTAAAATAAATTTTTTTGTTAAATTTTTTTTAAGATAATTGAAAAATTGTAGATAAAATTTTATAATTTTATATTTCATAAAAGAAGGGGAAGCATTTAACTTGGGAAAAGATAAAAATTTAGTAATTTATTTATTAATTTTTGAGAAAAATATGGAGAAGATAAAAGTAAAAGATATTTAACATAAACTAATATAATACACACTTATAAATAACTTATATACTTACTTATTTTCATTTAAAAATAAAAATTAAAATTAAAAATCTATTAAAATGTGTTATAAGAAAATTATTTGATATTTAAAATTTGTTTTATTTTAGATTCATTTTCCTAAAAGAAATAATATTTTCTGCTAAAAATAATATTATATTAAAATATATAATATATATAGTCGTATAAAATTATTTGATCATATTAATAATTGGAAATAAAATAAAATATATATATATATATTTAATATTATTATATGTATGTATGCATGTGTGTGTGTGTGTTTAGGTATGTAACAAACATATATTTAATATAACTGCAAGTATTTTTCAATTTAACTAGCAAAAAATGAAGACTTAAGGTTGGAGACATGGAGATCAAAGATTCAAATATTGGCTTGAGCATATTTCACAATGAATATGTGACATGATGTGTAGTGATGACGTGGCATGAGAAAATGCACACGTGGTAAAGTGACACATGGCAGGATGATTTGAAGTGAGATGGCGAGGTGACACGGTATGAGGAAGCACACATATGGCAAGATGATGTGGAGTAAGGTGCTAGATTACATGGCATGATGAGGCACAAACATAAGAGGTGACATGGCACGAGATGGCTCTTTAATTTTTTTTGCAAAACATAAAAGGACTCTTGGCAGTTACAAAAAGTCACCACTAAAGATTTTTAACAATAACTTTTTATTGTAAAAAAAGTTGTCACCAAAAATCTCATTATTAATAGTTTTTGGTGGTGACAAATATAGTCACCACCAAAACTATACTTTTAACATATGTTGCCACTAAAAATAAACTTTTAGCAGCAAAATTTTTTTAGTGATGAATATGTTTGATGCTGTTAAAAACCTTTAGCGATGAGTTTTGAATTTTTGACAATAACAAAAAATAACCACCAAAGGCTTTTTTTTTTTTGTAGTGATTCTATCATTTCAAGACACATCTAGGACTTCTGCTTAACTAAACTTAATAGCTTACTAAATTTAGGCATATTCTTGACCGAACTTCTAGATAAAAAAATTAAGATGTTACTAGATGAGTTTTAAATTTTAAAAGACTATACAAAGACCAAACAGTTTATCAGATTAAGATGAGAAATTAGGGCATGTTTTATTTTGTTTTCAAAAAAAATTATTTTAAAAATAAAAATAACAAACTTATTTGGGTAAGTATTTTGGATTTAAATGTTTTCAAAAAATATTCTCATTTTTTTTGTTTTAAAAACAAAAATAGAAATATTTTAGAGTTTTTTTTTTTATAAAAATATTTTAAAAAAATAGAAACACAATCAAACAAGCCCTCATACCCTTCGATTAATTATGCTTGAATAGAAGGAACTTTCACCTTTAAATTTTCCAAACAGTACAACACGCGCAGTACCAAATATGTATGCATTGTATACATGATAGTTCTTTTTTAGGAGGAACTTACACAACATGAGGATTCCCAAGCCCACTGCTACTCTTGCTCCTCATATATTCTGGTATCTAATATTGATTAATACAGGACATCTCAGAGACTCAGACATACATAGGCCTCTCTTCACTGGTCATATTCTACTACTACTCTTGACCATACCAGCATAGATATAAATTAAAGACATCAATATTGGACATCTCAACAATCGGATTTACGATTTAGTTATTTACTTCACAACACTATCTATATTCTACAATATATATTTCTCTCATCACTTGTCATATCCTTGGCTCGAAACCTTTCCGCAGATCGAGATGCATGGATCAGCCATCTAATTTATTAACACATGCGAACAACTCCTTGTCAGCTTCGAACTTGGCCATGTCTTCCACCGTCAAGCCAATGTAAACCTCAATGCCACCACCATTCTTGGTGTCGATAAACACAACCAAATTCTTAAAAGTCAACGCAGGGGAACCTACCCACGTAGGTTTTCCCCAACCAAAATCAGCATCGTACAGAGGAAGCCTACACAAACTTGTGAAGTTAAATGAAACCATCTCTCTCTTCACAAGCACTCTGTTAGAAATATCCTTAAGGAAATCCAAGTGTTCATTTGTTCCTTCCTGGATTCTTCTCACATAGTCCTTGTCAATCTTCTTCATTTGCTCCCTTACCTGTTTTACAAACAAAATTCCATAGTTACATTCCTCTTCATTCTCTAACGTTGGAATAAACGTCATTGTAAAACGGTAATAATTTCCGAATGAATCCGGAGGTAACGGTGGTTCCATCCTCGGACGGAGGTTGACCGTATGAACGACAGCATAGGTTTTTTGTGTGCCATGTGGGTCTTGTGTCGCTGCCACGTAACGACTCCATATGAAAGCTGATAAGGCTTCTACTCTTGAGGGGAGCTTATCATCGTCGTTTTGAGCATATTTTGTCTTGAGGGCTTCAATAACTGAAGCATCAAACACAAACCTTTTGGAGATGATGTTGTCGTTTACGATCCCAGACCTAGGATCGAACCCTGGTGTGTTTTTCGGTGGGAAGAGATTAGCCGACACAAACCTATCACTACAAGAAGAAAAATCTAGTACCAGTTATTTAATGCAAAAGTTTTGAAACTCATTTTTCTTGTATCTTTATCTTCATATATTGATATACTGTGCAGTTACTTTTGTAACGAGAAGAGATTCAAGTCCCAAAGAAGTTGATTATGTATCAGACTCAGTTTTCCATCTCTTAAAAAACAACTCCTCTATACAGATAAAGTAAAAATTGAAATAGTTTCTCCTTTCTAATTTTAATAAAAATTTTCTAAATAATTAAATAAATTCTAAATTGATAAAAAATTGGAAGAATGACAATTAGGTCTGAGAATGTTAACTTAATGACAGTAATTATGTTCCCGATAAATTTTTTTAAAAAATAAGTTGAAATATCAATCCAAATAATTCCAATTTCAGGAGTTTCAATTGCAAATACATATTTTAGTATCAAATATAACTCTTAGATTGTTATAAAAAAAATTATTTGTAACTATTTGAATTGATATTTACAATTCATTTTTAAAAAAAATTTCTTGGAACTTAACTGTCATTAACCCAAACTCCTAGGATCTAACTGTCATTCTCGCTTGAAAATTTTTGTTGGTATAAAATTTGTTGACAAAACATGCTCCAAATATTTTCTTTCAAACCTAACATATATAGTCTAGCCGAAAAGAAGGGCACGCTTATGCTATAAAAAAAAATTAACAGATTTGACCTTTTGCAAGTAACATAATCAAAACAATTATTTTTCAGAACTAACAAAGTCTAGAAAATTAAAAAAAGAATCGTTATTATGCTTTTCGAAAATAAATAGACATATTTTGACCGGGAATGAGTACGCAACGCTGACCTTGCTGGATAGCTTGTGAACTCATCAGCTTGTCCGCTGCCACTAGCAACAGAAGCCCAACGATTGAGAAACGTGAAAAACGACAAAGCGTCTGCCATCTGATGAGAAAGACAAGCACCAATCGCAATCCCACCACACTCAAAAACATTGACCTGGACGCCGAAGGTTATCTTAGTAACCTTGTCAAGTTGAAATGGAAGCAAGTAGTTAAGTTCAGAAGGATTAGGGTTTTGAATAAAATCCAAAAGCTGGCCCTTCACTCTGGTTTCTGAGTATGGAACTCCCTCGTCGTTGCAGTCTATGAAGGTATTGTCCATGAGTCGCCCAGCGAGAGGGTAGTAATGACTTAGAACATGTGACAATGATCTTTTGAGGTGGTCGGAAATAGTGGTGATGTCGGAAAAATCCTGTTTAGGGTTCGTACAAATATTATGAGAGTAAAAGAGGACGAGAGGATTGTAGACTAATGGAGAGACTTGGTCGAGAAAAGAAAGCTGGTAACGTCGAAGATGATGAGGCGTTGGAGACGAAGGTTTGATGATTTCTTTGGAGATTACTTCCATTTCGAACTTCATCGTCATTGTGCACAAAGATATGATTTCTTTGAGTGTGTTTATGTTCATGTTGTGTTGTTTCAGAGTTTGCAAATAACACCTATATAAAGGAACCAATTGATACACAAGGTGGATCATACACTCATTAAATGATAAAGATGGCATAGTTGAAGGATGATACCTAACCTTTTTTCTTTTTGTTTTTCTTTTTTTTATAAAATAAAGTTTAGGTGAATTGGATCCCGGAACTTCTCAACATTAAAGAATGCCTCCAAATTCAAATAAATCTTATAGAAGTACTTACAAATTGCCTACCAATAAGCCTACCAACAAGGTCATTACATTGGCAGTGGAATTTGATTTCATGACTTTGTGGGTTACAATTATAAGCCAAATCCTTACTAATTAAACATAACTTTTGTTGGTGATAATATCTAACTTAATTAGTCATTTTCTTGTAGATTTGGTTGACTTAATTGTGACCTTCACGCTAGGTATGTCTACGTAATGCAAATTGATATAAAAAATATTTTTTTATTTACCTTCATCCATTAAAATAGATTGGAAGATAACCCATTAGGTTTTTACGTGAAGCAGAGGGCTATGTATGTTTCTAGTATATGTCATATAAAACAGGATTTCTTAAACCATCAGGAAAAGTAAGTTCAATTTTTCTACGATTTGCAGTCATACTCAAACGTCTCATTTATTAGTTTTTCCATTTTTCTTATGTCCATCATCTGTTTTTTCTATTGCTTTCTTAAAACATACTAAAACTAGGATTTAGATTTGATGATTGGCTTAAATCCATTTATTCAATGAGTATCTCACATGATACCATAACAATCGTTTGATTTAATCAAATAGTTGTAAGAGATGTGTCATGTAATACCTAGAAAGTTATTGAGTTAGTAGACTTAGATCACTCATTGAATCCAATTAGTTAATGTGAATGCCTTGCAGGGAAATTAAATAGGTGTGATTAGCGCATGTTAGTAAAATTACACTTTTTAAAATTGTGGAAAAAATCTATCTGAGAAATTGAGTCACGTTAAACTCATGTATTATTTTTTTCCCCATTTTTCTCGTGTTCGCTTCGCAACTCAAGTCCCAACGGTAGTTTTTGTTCAAAAGTCTCGTCAATATTAAGCATTGAACAAGACATGGTTAGTCCTAGCAAGCTCTACATTTCATGGAGTCTAATAAAGATTAGGCGCACAAGTTATGAGTTTTAACTTTTAAGCATGAAGTGTGCCTTAATGTGAATGTTATGAAGTTGTAGAAACATTGAGATAGAAAAGAAAAGGTATAGAAAATAATATTATATTCGTATGATTAAAAATAATAAAAATATATTTAAATATTTTAAGACACACACACACACATATATATATAACATAAAATATTGCAAATTGCAACATACATTGTTGACAAGTTATAAATATAGTACAGCTCATTTCATTTAAAATGAACTCTTTCCGTTAAAAATATAAAATATTTTTTCGGAGTTGGATATTAAAAAATGTATGACATTTTTAATATTTTAAGATATAATTAATGCATTTTTTCTAAAAATATCCTTAATAAGTAAATCATTTACATTTATTTTTAAGTAAAATATCCTATTAAATAAGGGTAGATATTAAAATATGATATTAGTATGAAAATAGTTAACTAATTTATTGGGGGATAAAATTTGATTAAAAATGCCTTATATTTTTTAAAAGAGGAAGTATTATATAAATTTTTTTTTCAATTTAAAAAATTCAAGTATTTTAAGATATTTATAGTATAGTATAGTATATATTGTAGTGTGTGACATATGAAACATCATATTTCATTAAATAAACACATGACGGTCAACAAAATAACCATCACATTTTTAAGCTATCTTTTTTTTTTAATTTTTCATAATAGTGCAAGTTCAAACTAATTTTTCAACTTATAAGATTATTGTATTTGGGAGAAGCATGACACGGAATGAAATAAAATTCAACCAGATAGGTCTACATATAGGAGGATATGATCAATTTGCTTCTAATCATTAAACCATGTTTTTTAAAAATAGTAACTTATTGTAGACTTAGAGATCTTCCTTTCTGCCAAACATACATAAAATCTACCTAAATTTGTAGTTTTAAAATATTATTTAATTGGATTTATGCAACCAAAAGGGAAAGAGAAGAGAATATATACTCATTTATTATTGATTTTCTTAATTTTTATACATCTATTCTCCTTTTTATATCAATCTTATAATTAATTATAATATAAAATTATTTTGTGGCCTCAGAGATTTAAATTTTTTTAAAATACTTTCTCCGGTCTAAAATATAAATATTTTACTCTCAACTAATCTTAGTTCAAAATATAAATAACTTAATATATGTATATTTTTTATTTTATTCCTTGTATTTATTAACCTAGATTCTTATATAAATTTATCTCTCACTTATCATGAAGTGCATTGGTAATTGAAAATTAAAGATAAAAAGAAAAATAATATATATTTTTATGAGAATGAGAATTTTATTGGTATGTGATTTTTTTTTAAAGGCTGTTTATATTTTAAATTGGAAAGAATATTATATACTACATTTGGTGTTGTAGTTGGAGGGTTTCATCATTCAAAGTTCAAAAATACTTCTCCGGGTTAGGATTTGTGGATTTGATATAAAGATGATGACATGGAGTGATCAGCGTGACATTAATAATTAGCATCCCTCATTATAAGATTCAAACCGAAACTAAAGAGGTCTTCATGATGATACAGGCATAATTAATGTTCTTACTAACTATATTAAACGATCTTAATTGTTTATAGTTTTAGTTTTCTTTTTTCTTTTTCTTTTTTACCCCTTCGGTAATCTTCTGCGCCATTACACCAAAAAAACATCCAAATTTCTTAATGATTCAAAACTATCCAAATTATGTTCTGATAAGAACACAATAAAAATGTAACCATATAATTCGAAGGGCAAAATATATAGTATAACTCTTTATTTATAAAATGAGGGTGATATTTAACACACACACAGAGTCTGTTTTTTGTTAAGTTTTTGTTTGATTTTGGAAAATCATTTATATGCCAGATTCTTCTAAACACAATTTTTTATCGTTAACATTGGATAAATATTGATTAATTTCCACAAAATTTGAGAATATGAACTTTTTGATACATTTTCATAAGTTTTTTAGTTTAATATAAAACTATCTGGTATTTTTTTTTTAAGATTTCTGTATCATTAAAAAAAATTATGTACGATAATTCTTAAAAAATAAAGGAAAATACCTATCCAATAAATTAATTACTATGAATTTTGGCATATTTTTATGCTTAATTCCTCCGAAAAGTATACCCTGATCCATAAAAATTAAATTCTTGATTAGATCATTTTAATTAAGCTTAATTAAGTAATAGCAGTACTAACAAATAATAGACTTAATTAGGCTTATATTTACATGTGTGGTCATAATTTATTATTATTTTTTTCTTGGTATGGATAAGGAGCATCTTTTATCGTGAGTTAGTGAAAGTAGTGAAGGCCAAAGAATAGACCTCTTTCAACTTTATCTGCTTCACACATAAATATTAGACATCAAAGTCCAACCATTGGTTTGAGAAGAAACAAAATTCCCAACCACTCATGCTATGGTAACCTTAATTGGTGACACTAATGCATAAAATTCAATTTTCATTCCAAAAAACATAGGAAAATGCATATAAATCTTGTAGTCTTATTATTTTTTTTTAATACAAGCTAAGGTCATCAAAATAAACAAACCATGCAAAGAAAACGGAATACCAAGGCATGTAAGAAATTAAAAAGTCTCCTCACCTTAAGAATTGGTTGATGATAAGAAAGGGATGTAGTCTTATAATCTTGTTTTATTGGATCTGGGCCCTAGGGGTAATTTGTCAATCAATGGATTAATTGGGAAGTTTTTTTTTTTTTTTATGCTGCATCAGTGCTTTTTTTCATTAAAAACAATCTTATTCACGGTCGAATATTAAATGTGGGTGTCTTTTTTAACATAAATTCAAATTTTAATTTATCATATTATGAGAAACTAGCCTCTTTTGCTTGACTCAATCCTCGTTGGTGGCTCTATTTCTTTCTTTCTTAAAAAACAATGCATAGATGTTAAAAAAGTGAATTGCAATCGTTATATTTCAAAAAAAGTTTCTTTTTAAATAATATTTACCAGCAATAACCAATACAACTTAGTTGCAGCTGAATACAAATACATGGGACCCGCTCTATTTTTCTTTCCCCCAATACCACTCTAATTATTTATTAGTAAAATTAACTTTTTGTCGACATATTTGATATTGGAGAAATGATTAACAAGGACAGGAAATTTTTTGACCCAAATATAAATATAAATTATCCTTGCAAGTTCATGCGTTCGACACGGAATGGTAAATATATTTTTATATAAAGCTATTGTTGGAGGAATGTCGGAATATTTTGCACCAGAAATGAGTAAACTATTACTTCTTTGCCCCCCTTGAAATATAAGTGACTTTATAATTTAAAAATAAAAAATGCAATTATATCCTAGTGCGTTTGGATTAATAGGAATTTGGATCTGGATCAAATCATTCATTTGGATAAACAAATTTTTATGAATTTAGATTTGATTTAAATCCACATCCATCTCTTATTACATTTCTTTTGTAATTTTGAATTTATCTTATACCCTAGTTATTTAAAATTTTAATTACTTCAAACACTTCATTCTCTTCATTTTTTTCTATATATTGATGCATTTATGACTCTCGTATTTTTTTTTTCTTTATAGAAAAATATAGGTAAACTCATCATTTTGGATTTTTCATTTTTGTTTTAAATCTCAACTCATCTCTTTTCTTCATTTAAATTTTTTTAAAAAAATTGTTCAAACAAAGGATTTTGAATACATGAATTTTAAATCTCAATTTGAAATGCAAGATTTTAAATTTAAAATTTAAATTCAAATCCAACAATCCAAATGTTTCCAAAAATTAATTTTAAGTAGTTTCTTATCTATTTAACGATAGATTTAATATAGGTA